TACAGCAGAGATAAACATGTCCATAAAGTCTGTATCTGTGTCAGTAATTGTACTGCTGTCAGTGACTGTCCTGTTTTACAGGTCTCTCTTGGGAGAGGAACACGCTTTGCTACCAGTGTCAGAGAAGTGTTCGCTTTGATTTGCATTAACGTGCCAGGAGATTAGGTTGCAATGGTGAGGATGGAAATTGAGTTTGGACCATGGCTGCTATTGTTTTTTTTTTTAATAAATGGGTGTGTTTGAGTTGCCCTCTCTGTGGAGAAAAAAAAATGGCAGATTGAGGTTATTCTTAAATATAGAATCAGGGAGAGACAGTATACTGATGATATCAGATGTGATTCTACCCATATGCATAGATAGTGCAGTCTTACCATAAAACAAATGCTGTGTCTAGGTTACTGTCATTTATGGAAAAAATACTGCATGGATCCTTAGGGTGTTCTCTGTCTGCTGGTAAAGTAGAATGTATATTTCTGTAAGTTTCAAGAAATTTCTGCATCTTTGCCTTCTTGCCCTTCCCTTACTCTTAGGGAAAGATGCTATGGTGGACATTAATGGTGAGTACTAAGGCATCATCACAATCTCCAAGCATTGATGATTCTGATTGCTGCAGAAGGAGGTGTATACTTGTGAAATTTGAGAAAAGGAAAAAAACCTCTAAAACTATCCTATATGTGTTAGAAGTTCAAACTTCTTCAGTTTCTCTGTGCTTTCATTTTCTGTTTGATGCCTGTTGTAGATAACTGTCTGTGTGGAATCTTCTTTGTTAAATTCTACAGTTTGGGTTGGATTTTTTTGTCTGTGACTTAATAATTTTTTCCGTAATAAGGTAATTATTTTGCCACAGAATTATTTTCAGATATCCAAAGTGACTGCAAAACCCCAGTTTTCCATTTTGTCAGATATTCATTGAGGCTCCCAAATGTAGCTGACTGCATTTTTTAATGCTGATGGACACCTCTTACCAAAGGGAGATTATCATAAACAATGTAAACTCTGTGATTGCATGGAGAGCTTTAAAATGTGCTTAGGTGTAGAAGTGTTAGAAATGCTAAAATGGCACCTGCCATTGCGTGGTTAAATCTGGAGCCTGAAGTTGGAAGTACAATGGGGAGTTTTTCCAGTGGTAGGCAGCATCCCATCTAGCTCTGATAACTGAGTTTCCAAAGCTATATATATAAGGATCATATGCTGAGTGGCCCAAAAGCTGGCAGATAACTGCTGTTGAAGTGAGTGATGCTCAATGCGGCAACTGAATTCTAAATAAAAGCTGAGTTAAATAGATATTTTTTACCTGATCTTTTTTGAAATGTGGTTTTTTTCCTTTCCTCTTGTCCTCCTCCTCACCTTTTCTACGTGTCCATACCTAGTTTGTTAATCTGATTTTGTTAAAACAAAGGCTACCTCTGAAAGGAACTTCAGGCAGGATGTATTATTTGCTTTATTAAAACAAGACAAAAACAAAACCTCTGCCTCCACCAAAAAGAAACCCAGGACAACAAATACCAACAAATAAGAACAACAAAATAAATACACCAAACCAATTAAAAAAAAAACAAAAAAACCCACAAATATTTCTTATACCCAGGTATTTCTGTCTAAGAATGTCTCTTCTGAAAATCCCCTTTGTCTCCTATAGTTTGTTCAGTAGTAGGTAGAAATTCTGCAATGGTTTGATCCTTTCTGGAAAAGACTTTTTGAGTTTATGTTGGTAGAGTGAAGGTTGATCTAGATACTTTTTGTCGTTAAGAAAAAGGAGTCTTTTCTGTGTTTGTTGGGAAGAAGAGAAAGAAATCTGATTAATCTGAAAACTAACTGACCAAACTGCTCTGAAACTCTGAATCAGTCATCTGATTCATCACTATTAACTTCTGCAGGATTTTTGGTATGCTACTCAAAGCACCCATGTGTGCTTTGAAAAGACATCTGGAATATTAGTACTGGTCAGTCAAGTAGTGGAACACATTGTGCAGTCACCAGTTCTGCATTCTCTGTTGTTGGAGGTTTTCCAGACCTGACTCAATAAAGCTTTAAGCAGTATGATCTGTCCTCATAATTGACCCCACTTTGACCAGGAGACCTCCTGCGCCTTGTAACCCCGATCATGCAGTGACTCCGTATTTCTCTGATCTAAGTTCTTCTAGAACTAGAAGTGCATTTGAAGCCTGCATTCCCCACAGCTCTGAACGATTCAGCTTATGAGCTATAGGCAGGTGCAGCTTTATGATCTGCCTCTACAGGAGCAGCTGATTAGGAAACCTAAGAATTACCGTGTCACAATGATGGCTTTTAGACTTTGGGGGTATGGTGAATGGACTTTCAAATACTTCCACCAAGAGAGCTGGTTACAAGTCTGTGCAGTGTGGGCTGCAGAGCCCCTTTTTGTGCACAGGGAGGTACAGTCCATTCGGTACAGTTCTTTAAGCAGAATAGGAGAATGGTCCTAAGAATAGTCAGAAGTTCATGTGCGTCTTGGCTGAAATGAACAGTGAAACCACCCACATCTCTCTACACAAGTAGAGGGTCAATGGGGCTCGGCTGAAGAGCTTTTACCCACAAAAGTAAAGGAATGGGCTGTCACATTAAAGCATTTCTACCTGCCACATGCTTGGCACAGAAAGAAACATGACTACAAACAAAATGTTCTTACATTATACTGTCAGAAGCCTATTTTTTGCTACTCTCATTCTGACAGGATAACTTGTAGACTACTGTCAGTGGAGGAATTGAGAATGGGGAAAAGTTTGATCAAGCATAAGGTTATGTGCATTTTTCCATTATCACTTAAAATCACAAAAATGCCTAACAAATCTCAGGAGTCATTCTATCAGGGACTCTCGAATCTTTACAACTGGTCTGTATTTATTAGTTAAACATCTTTTGCTTTGTCTATGCCTTTATTCAATTAAAACTTTCCACTTCTGTGTTACTAGAACATTTACTCTGTATTTACAAATATTGGAAAGATCCGTGTGCCATCTCTGTCTGAAACGTTCTCCTGTAAATTTTGGCTTCTGGCAGGAGCGAAGAGAAAATTTTCTTCCACAGTATGGGTTGCTGGACCTATTTGCAGAACAGCAGCTGATCCTAGTGAAAAATCTCACTAGAGTGTGACTTTGGAGTCTTGGCTCAGTTTCTGATACTACCCCTCTTCTGCTTGGTTCATTTATTTGCCTTCTTATGTGCCTCTTCCTATCTCCCCAGCTGTAAGGTGGAGTTCACGTTAACTTGGTTTTGCAAGGCCTTGAAAAAATAATTAATTTTAAAAAACAACATATAAAGCATTTATTGTTAAGTATCCTTTGCTGTGTGCTGCTGTTTGGTATTTTCTCCTGCTAGCTATTATTATATGCCACAGGAAGGTATCATTAGAATTTTGTGTCAGTCATCAGTAGTAAAATGAGAATATGATAATAAAACAAATCCCAATATCAAATGCTCTTCAGCCTGGGACCGAAGCAGAGTAACTAAGAAAAGTGAGGCTATTTTCAGCCATTTGCAGACACTATATATATATAAAAGGATTTCTATTTGCAAGCAGTAAAAAGGTTAGAAATTATTAATCTGTATCCATTCTAATGCCAGAGATTATTTATCTGTTTGGTTTGCTGTATTCCTCTTCAGTTTCCTCCATTTTGGATCCAGTGATAATGCATACAAAGCTATGTGAAAATTTGCCAAGCATTTTTTCATGTTATTGAGTGGTTTCAGTCATTTGGAGCATGAAGTCTTCTGTAAGATCAATAGTGAACTTGCCACCTTACCTCTTGCATCTACAGTAAATGCAGCTTTGAACATCCTGTCTGTACAATGTTGCTAGACCAAGTCTGATAGTATCTGTCTCTCATTGCCTCATTAACTTGTGAGCATTCGAACGAGATAAAAATGCCCTAAAGCCTCTTATCTGATGATTGTTGTAACCTTCTGAGTGCCATTAGTTTAAGTTTGCAATCAAATACTTCCCCTGAGTGTAAGGAGCACTGATTAAACCTGAAGCGTCCCCAGAGGCTTTTACAGCTGTCATGGGGGCGGTGGCTGCTCCTGTCCAAAAGGACAGGGGGGGCTGGAGGTCCCGGTGGGAGGGCCACTCTGCAGCCATCCACGTGGCTGCCCCAGCTGTTCCGCTTTGCCTAATGAATTGTTTTACAAGGAGAGGCTGGATATTGTCATCACAAGCTGCCTTCCCCAGGGACTGAAGCCAGCCTGATAATGACTAATGTTAGTGATAGTAATTGAAGTGTGATGGCTCTCCAGGGACTTTGACACACGCAGAGCTGTCAGGCACTTGTGGCTGGTACAGTCCCATGAATACCTCAGAAATGCTTTTTAATTGCTTGACTTTCATAACTAGTTCCCATACATATCCTGCAGAAATACACATTTTAAGGGGATAAGGAAAAGGAGCTGAGGACTCTGCTGTGACCCTTGGTGTACACCTGTAGTTACTATCCTGACATGTTTCCAATGCGGTGTTCATGCTCCCATTAGTCTTGGTGTGGACCTGCTCAGTGTCTGCACAGGCATATATAACAGATTACACCTGAATGTACCTTTTCTTTCGTGTGTTAGCCTTGTCTTCTTGATGCACAAAGATTGTACTTGATTCTTAAAGAAGATAGTAACTTTATTTAAGAATATCAAAGGATTGCTGCCATTAATAGAATTGAAGCAGTGACAGCTATTTGCATTTTCTTAGGCGTTGAAAACTGAATGTAAGATAGAAAAAAAATCTTGTAAAAATATGGCATATCCATGTGTCTCAATATGACTGGAGTTTATGGCCATGAGATTTGGGAATTTAGGGCAGAGAAGTAACCAATTTATGTAAAATAGAGTGATTTTTGTTCTGAAAATGTTCTCATTTAGAAGTGCATTGTTGAATATAGCAGTGGGCCTGAGATAAAAATAGCCCCAATGGGGTACTGTACTCCTGTCTTCGAGGATCCTAACATGAACTTGTCAGGGTACTGAGATATTTTGAATTGCCTCTCTCTTTACAGGAAGGTTTTGCTGTGACTTTTTGAGTTCTAGCTGGAGATCAAAAAAGGAAGCTTGCTGCTATTGCCAGCAGAGTAGACATACTACCTCTTCTCATCATATTCATTCCAAGTTTGTTCTTCACCTCCCCCCTCCAGTGAAGTGTTGGTTCTTAGAAATTTATTTTGGTAATAAAACATTACTTTATACTTGCCCATGAAAGCATGTTTGAAGGCTGTTTGTGGATTCTTTAAAGTGTCCAAGAGATTGTTGTTCCCTAAGCACACTGCAAACTTGTATCATAATTAAGTCAGATGAATTAATGTGCAGAAAATTCAGATCATAACTGTAAGTGATTAACTTAGGCTCTTAAACTGTGAACCCAAACCTATGGTTGGTGTGCTGTAATTCAGTTGTCAGTCCCAAAATTGTATGCTTCAATGGATTTTGGTTGTGAGAAAATGGGTGAATTTATTCTTGCTGTTTTGGGTCACAATGAGGAGATAATAAAGCTGTGTTCACTGCTTTTCACAGTTGTAAGTTTTGACAGTAAAGCTAAAGGATATAGTTTAGTTATTTTCTTGCAATTTATCTTACAACTTGTACTGTAAATGAGGAGGTGGGAATAGCAAACTCCATGCTGTGTAAGAAGAGATTTTCAGTTTGTGATTTAATCATACTGATTGGTTTCCACAGCACAAGCACAAGAGTGGAGATAATTGAAAGATATCTAATAACTGATTAAGTAGATTTCATTTATGTATTGTTTTGAGCACTGTTTTATTGAAAGCTTGTAAGCTTTATTATAATATGTTCAGCAGAATATATTTTCTGTGTAGAAATTTTACATTGATAGGGCATTTTCATATGGAGAGCTTTTTGTGCTATGAGGAATATATCCACAGATTGTTTAAACTTCACAAAGTGACGATTATTTTGGTATCACTGTGCACTGTCATGTAAAATTTTGCTTTTCAGGTACTTGGTGATTTTTTACAAACATATATATTATAAATAAGTATCTCTTAAGTCCTTGCACAACTTCCCCCAAACCTATTACTGCATTTTAAAGCTTTCCAGGTTTACTGGCAATACAATAAATATTAGCTCCCATATTCTTCAAATTAAAATGTGACTTCTGTTTTCTCATTTTGGAGTTTGATGTCTGTTCTACTGAATCAGGTAAAATTGGGTTTGGTCAGTAGCTGGAGGGGATTCCATGAAGAGCGCAGTTGTTGCTCAGGGAAGGGCACCAATTAAGCAGCATTGGTGCCATTCTCCTGGAGGGTTGCTGAACTGTTATCCTATGGTAGCTCTAGAGGGCTCTCTGCTGTTGGAAATGTCACATTTCTAATGACTTATATGACAAAGGTCTTAATAACCTGTTGGTCGTTAAGGAACTCGTAACACTTCTTTTGCAAATGTTAACCTCATTGTCATCAGCAAAATATAGCATATGCAATTAGAATCTAATTTTCTCCGGTGTCAATTAAAGGGTCTCATTTTTATTCTGAACTGTGTTGTACTCTGCCTGTAAATGTCTATCACTTAAGTTACAGCATTTAAGTAGTGTAGGAACTGCAGTTTGTGACGTTCCTTGTTAAGTCACTAAGAGTATGATGTTGCTGGCACTGACTGTGCAAGAAAGAGAGAAGATAATCATCCCAGGCTTTATTGTAACCATGCAGTTTGTTACTGTAGTAGCCTTAAAAATATATAGGCATTGTTTCAGGAGAATTAGAAATGAATGTATAAGATGGAGGACAAGATGGGACAGGATGAAAGTATGAAAAGTAATTTTTCAGCAGAGCAATAGGTGCTTGTCCTCAAGTTCTATGAAGGCATTAGAAATGAAGGACTACCTTCTGGTAATACTTCTGCTTTATTTTAAAACCCTTTGGAAGTTTTACAGGGACATGAATTCCAGTTCTGTTTGGTGGGTGGGCAGTGGCATGCGGGGTTTGACTGGGTATCTGTATCAGACTTGGTTGCATTAAAATGGACTTTGAACTGGTTAGTTTGAAAATCAGTCAAGCAGTTAAAGATTGTAATGTTGCGTTCTTTATTGTAACAGTAAATTCTATTTTCTTATAGTTTTGTAGGGTTTTTTTTCTTTATACATGCCAGTGCTACATTGCTTTCACTCAGTTGTGTTTTGAAAGCAGTGAAAACCAGAAATAACTAGGAGTAACATCAGTGAAAACTACAAGACTAGAAATGTCTGTCTAAACTAGAAATAACTGTAACATGGTTGCAGCTTACATTTTGCAGCACCTTTGGGCATCATGGGTTGGATGTTTATTATGGACAGTGCTGCAGTGTTCTGCATGATAAGGAGCTTACATATTGAGGGAGTGAAAATAACATTGAGTTTGATGCTCATTGAGCTTCCCAGTTGAAAACATGCATGAGCGTCCTATTTTTACTCGGTGGTGCGCTCTATGTTGTGTATTCTGCAAAGCCCTTGTTTAAAATCACCCTTGTGAATACTGCTGAAGGGGGAAAAGGTGAAGTATGGATAGACTCAGGAAAGGAAGAGGCTGGTTTATTTTCACTGGTAGCATTTGCAGTTCCCCAGACAATGAGGGATGCAGAAACTGCCTTTTGAGAGCCACAACTTGATTAGATGTTTGAGTCTGTTGTAAAATCCTGTGGTGTCTGCCTCTTGTGCCAGCATGAAAATTCTCCTTATACAATGGAGGAAAGGTATTGACAAATCTTTCATGTAAATTCTGTGTCTTTTTCCTTCTTCTAGGGACTACATTACATAGTAGGAAAAATATACTGAATCACCCTTACTTGAGGAAAACACAAACTAATAACAATTAAGCTATTGATTACTTTTTCAGGCAGTAAAAAGATGCTTCTTCCAGGATTCATTTCCCCACACTATCCTTGACTTCAAACACCTGCAACATACAAGTTCTGGTAGTAGATGAATTCAAACACTCAGTCCTCCTAGCATTTTGGATATATTTATTGCATGTACTACATCTTTTCATGTCTAACCACTGTAATTTGAGAGGAAATAATATATTTTTTATTTAAGGTTATGGGTAGTACTAGTTCAGTGGAAGTGGGGATTTTATATATTTTAATGCACTACTGCAATTTTTGTGTAATGGAATCTTATATTAAAACCTTTTGTGTAACTATTGCGATTTTGCTTGTAAATTCAGAGGATATAGGCGTGGCCAGTTTTAAACTACATAAGATTTTGCAATGTTTTTTGAAATATATTTTCAAGTAATTGATTTAACTGAAATATTTTTTGTGAGATACAGCATTGTGGAGTGGCATCCGCACCCTCTTTATGCTTTGACTTGTTAGTTTTAAATACTTTTGTAGTCAATAGTGTGATCAGAACACTGGAGTTACTAAACAAAATGTCTCATAACAGTGTCTCAGAATTAGTGTTAACAAAAATGCTCTCCATATGTTTAAACATGCCTCCATCTATATTTCATGTAACACTGTATATTGTTAAATCCTGTCAGTTTTAAGATCTAAATATTTTAGGAAAGAATAAGTCAAAAATACCCTTCTGGCTACTGCATCTGTGTGAGGGACATCCACCTAGTTTGGAGCATTTGAAAATAGAATCCCTATATTTACTGTGTTTACCAGTGTTTACTTCCCTGTTGTTGTTCCATGCTGTTCAGGAAAGTGACCAAAGGCAGAGGGGGACACATTGAAAGTTACTTAGTACAAATTTGTATTGAGAAGAAAAAGGAAATAAACATTTTCTATAGTCTTCCATTCCTAGCTGTTTTTCTGATTAAGTAGCTGTGGTGGGTAAAATACAGGTGCATATGAGTTTTGAAGATCACTACACAGCTGACAGGGATAAAAAAAGTTTTTTACCAGTGGTAGCCTTTATCCCTCAGAGGCCCATGTATATAAGCTTTATGTTATATGAAGCTGTATTCTAACTGCCCTAAGGTGTATCCAGTACATGTACAAGTCTTTTGACTTCAAGGTCTGCTTTTTACTGAGTACTCCATATCTCTTTTTAAAAAAACAGAAAAATTATTTGTTAGATTTTTTTTTTAGCCATTTTCACTTTTTGGTAATCAGCAGCATCACTGACTTTTTGTGTCTCAGTTTGAATGTACAGTAGTGGTGTTCCATTTTAAAAACAGTTTAGTTGAAATTATTATAGCAGAAATAATATAAAGGTTGTAATAGGATGTAGTTTTCAAAAAGCCGAACTTTCTGTGTAAATGCATATATTAATGTTACCTGGCAGTTGTTTTCAGCTCTGGTCTGAATGTTTTATTAAATTTTTGAAAATGCATCTTTTTTTATTATTTTGACCTAGCTTTGTTGCACTGATGGTTCTGTTTAGTGAACTTTCTCCAGCTATTCCACACTCTGAGCCATCAGAAGATAGTAATTCTCTAGTTGCAGTGGGTGGCAATGCCTATTCTCTGAAGAGCTGGCTTATGAATCCTTGTCTGAGGTTCTGGTCTAAATCTCTTGGTCATGCTGGGGTCACCACAGTGCATTTACCAGGCTGAAGTTGCAAAGTCTTCAATGCCCAGGCTGCCTGGTGCTTCCCTGTTAGAATTCAGTGTGCCAGACCCATGGCACCCTGTCTTTTCATGAATGGAATTCAAAAAGACACTTATATTTCCATAAATAAATTAGGAATTCAGTGGCTTCTTCTGGCTAATCAGGGCAGGCTGATAAACCTTGCTAGCTGTTTAATAAATGAATTGTGACTGATTACCTATTAATATGGACGCCTCAGGAATTCACCCTGGGGGAAGCAGAGCAGTGAAATAGAGAGGGGCATGGCCCCCTGGGAAATCAGGGCTTCATGTTTGCAGCTTAAATATCTCTGTGAAGTATCAATAAGGAGGTAATTGAATTTTGAACACAAACATGAGCGCCGGGTGGATGAAGGAGAGGGGGGCCCTGATCATCTCTTCATACCCCTTCATACTCCCCTCCCCTTCCCCTTAGAGACCACTCTAGTGAAGATAGATGCTAAATCTATTAAATAAAGATTAGACTGTGTCGTGGTAGAAAATGGCAGCTTAGCTAGATCCCTGGGCAAATTGGGACCTTTAAGCAATACAGAAAATTAAAATATACATTTTTAACAAGTGTGCTGTCGACACAGTAATAATGACTCTGTGGCTTGTGGGGTTTGCTCACCTTTCAGATCTGCTTTTGTTTGGTTATATCACTTGCCCTTGTTTTGAAACCAGCCTGCTTGGTCTCTCTGAAGCAGAGAAGACTTAGGGGAAAGAAGGTTATTTTCCCACCTTGCTTTCTTTGGCACTTTTTATTGGCTCTTATGCTTATAGTAGTGTAGAAGATCAGTACTCTTGTATTTGAATATGAAAATAATTAACTTTGGCTCCAGCACACTCAGTCGCATGTTCTGAAAAGTAGTTAGGAATAGTCTAGAGGAAGCATGGAGATGTAAATGTGATCAAATTTTTTAGAAATAGTTTTTATTTTCTAAGCACATGGCTTTGTTTTTATTTACTCCAGATAAATTTTTCTGAATTTTACTCTTATGGGAAAGATTAGTATAGGGGTGTGCATTGTAAAAGGTCAGTATTCTTTTTTGTCACACAGTGAATTGTAGAAACACAGCTGAGGTGGTGTTCAAGGGGTGACAGTGTTCCTTTATAATACTGTGCTAGACATAGAACACAACCAGGCCTTCTTCACAATCTCACATGCCCTATTATCTGTTGCAGAAAGTCAACAGATCTTGGGTTTTGCAGGCAGAACCTCATCTGTCTGTACAAATAGAGGACCAATTGCTATACTGAAGAGACTACTCCTCTTGCTTTTGCCAAGTAAGATGTTTACCCTACAGAACAAAATCCAAAATTTTCTGTTTAATTATTTGGAACAAGAAATGAGCATAAACCATGAGTGTTTCCCTGGAGAGAACTGTTGTTCCTTCCATCTAGATTTTTTTTTTCTTTAGTCTAGATAGTTTTGAAAATGGAAAGGAAAAAAATGATTTTGTGCTTTGTTGAATGTCTCAGTTTAAGACATATTAGGGGGAAACCCCAATACACTGAATTACAGTGGACTGAGACAATAGTAACATGGGGACTTCTGTCTGTTCTTGGACAACATCTCTCTGATAACACCACTTCCCTGTTTTCCGACTTCTCTCAAGTATTAGCAGTTGTGCCCAGAAAACCCTTGGCACTGCATCTTCAGCTTTAAATGCTAAGAAGCGAACTCAGTGTTCATTTTTTGTTTAAAAAGAATAGTAGATATTATTAAGTATAAAAAAGTATTAACACACCTGTGCCATTCTAGTGACAGTATTGAGCATATTTGGAATGCTTTGTCTTCCATTAAGTTAGAGCTGCATTCAGACGTGGTTTTTTATTTGTTTTCCAAATTGTCATCTGCTTCCACATCCTAGCAATTTCATCACTTGTCTTTTGTGACGGGTGTTTTGCATTGGGAATGTCTGTATTCTTTCATCCAGCCGTGCTTCTAGGAAGAAAAAAAAAACTTTGTAAGCTGGTTTAGCCTCAAAGATTCTCATTCATGGTGTTGACACCAAATTGAAAAGGAACAGGTACCACCCCTTAGCTAAATTACAGTAACTGTTCATTGTGTATGTGCTGGAGCCTGTTTCAATTGAAGAAGACAGATCTCAAGCCTCCTTTGGTAAGAGGAGATTACATCACTGGGTTTACTTTTGGTCAAGCGTGTTGATCATGGGCTTCTTTTTTGGGACTTCCTGGCCCTTGTTCTCCTTGCAAGGGGACAGCTCCTTTCCTGAACCCCACCCCTTTCTCTCCAGTTCTCAGTCTGCTATTCATAACACATCTAGTTTCCTTTAACCTTAGCTGGCCCCTTTCAAAGAAGTCCCCTGTACATTGACAGCCTATGTCCTTTTTTTCCTTATGCTACGGGCATTCCTTAGCCTTATTGTATCACCTATGCCTCTGCCTTTTTTGGAGATTTTTCTGTTCTCTTTTTCCTGCTTGTACACTTAAACTAATTTTCTAGCTCAGGAGTTTTCATTCCTTTGTATATCCCAAATTTAAAAGGAGACTCTTGCTAATTTGTTCTGTAGCTTCTTCTGAAGGCAGGCATGTGCCAGGAACCTCACAAGCTTATGGCTTTCCATATTAAGGCACTTAGTGATGCAACATTTTAATTAAATTAACCAGAATTCGTAAATTGTAGATAGACAGATTTTCCAGATCATCTCAATATGAGCTTTTAGAGTGATCAACACTCTGCTGGTGTTTAATCCATCAGACTGCCATATGGAGCGTTGAAGAGTAGAATATCTGTTTATTAACAATTGTTGTTTTTTCACGTCAGCAAGTATGATTTTTGTATTTGAGGACCTAGGAGTGCAATCTGTTGCTGCATCTCTTACGTGAGTTATATCAACCTCATGCCAGACCTCATTTCATGCCAATCCTTCTTTTTTTACTCAATTTAGGTGATCCAATAGGCTGTCTAAATGGCATAATAGAGCAAGAGGGTCGTTCTACCAGGGTCTTCAGAAGTTCTTTGGTTACACTATCACAAGGGGAATGTGTTCAGATGTCTTTTATGAGAAATTGCAGATATCCATATTGTCGGTGATTTCTGTGAATAGTTGAGATATATTTAGTAAAGCTTTGCAATTTGATTGACCATAATACATCATAATTCACAAAACTCAGAAAATTGTTTGAGATCGAGCCTACATTTTATTCACTCTCAACAAGAATTAATAAATTCTTGTTCCCAAATCCTAGGATATCTGGTGTTGGACTACTCTAGGAATAGAATTTACCTGTCTCTTTAGAGCAGTTGTCTGTTCCATTTTATTGTGAAATACAAGTCTGTTTCTACTCATTTAGCTGAGTGACTGCTTTCCATTGTTGGTCTTTCCAATGGGAAAAATACTCTTCAGGCAAGAGGAAAAAAATGTGCTTGTATTGTGACGTTTTCATTGCTCTTCTCAGAAAGAAGTATTAGCTCTTCTAGAATGGGAGATGAGATTAGTGCAGTAAGTCCAAGCACGCAAGCCATAATTTAAATCTTCTTCCAATTTTGATCTAACATTTATGGAATAAAACCTTTCCTATATATCCACACAGTGCTTATCCAAGATTTTATAATATTATACTTTTCTCAGAATCTTTTACTCTGATCTTATAAAATCTTGTTCCACTCACAAAGATGAGTTTCATATTTTGGCTGTGATCAAGATCTCCATACATTTTTGCACATACTTCAGTATTGTATCAGACTGTTTTTCCATTTCTCTTTCTTGTCATGTTTTTTTCTTTGTTGTTCCAATGTTCTGTATATTGTGGACTTTTACATGACTTATGTGGTTTTGGATGAAAAACTTGCTGTTTGGCAGAATTGTCGTGACAAATCTGTCTGAATTTGCTGGAGAATTTACTCAAAGTAATTGGGGTTTATGCACAGTCAATGAATGTGGCAGGATTTAATAATGTTTTGCATGTGCCCCTTAAACCTCCTGAACTCCTGGGATCATTCAAAACAGCCAGGTCCAGAATAGCCAGGTCCTCAGCATGAGCAGATCGTTCTTCTCCTGTATGTCTTCAGGCTTGAGTGAATCTTCAAGTCACAGCAAATTATTATGGTATCTCCCACCTCTTCTGTTTGAATTTAGTAATTGTTTATGCTTTACACCCTGTATTTCTGCATAAGGTCTAATAATCTTTTCCCAGAAAGGAGCTAAGTCTCATTGTCTTTTTTGTAATTTTGGATACTCTGTCACTTCAGGCAGTATTTTGGTAGGAATAATTTTGAGATCATGTGGTACACACTGTTCACTTCTAGAGAGCTGCTTATAAATCAAGAGTTTTCTTCATGAGAATGTGGGGGGGGGGGAAAGAGGATTTATTTGATTTTGAAAGGTAGTGCAGTTGTTACTTTACATCTCTTCAATTGAAAAGATAAATTGAAAATTCCTATTGACTCACAACTCTGAAAAGAATGAGAGGGGGGAAAATCAGAAAACAAGTAATGGAAGCTAGTGAGATGAAAATTAGCAAAAATAAATGCTTTTTACATAATGAATTATTTGATATGGGACTTTCCGCACACTGGGATTTTTTTTTTTTTTTTTTTTTTTGGATCAAGTACTTAGCAGCAATTGGAAAGGAATCAGGCAATTAAATGGATAGTGAGAGCATTTTTAGTTAGAGCAGAAAAAAAATCTAAAATGAAATAGGAAATATCATCTGCTTCAGGATATAAAACAAGCACTTAAGAAGAGGAGGAATCCTTCAGTAATAATTATTCCATATGTCTTCATAATGTGGCTCCCTAATTTATCTTTTCCTGTGATGCTTCTGATCTTGGCTGCAGTCAGGCAGGATATCTGACTGGGTAGATTACTGATCTGCCTTGCTCTGTCAATTCCTGTGTTCATATACAGTTTTCATGACTACAGAGCACAGAGATTCTTGTTTAGCAGGAAATAACATTTCTACAGTCTCTTTTAGCAACTAGTCATAGATCCTATTTATAGATAGGATTTTATATGCAAGATTTTGGTCACTGGTATAGAATGGTAATTCTGAGTATGCTCTGAGTTACATCTCTTGAGAGAACATCATTATTAAACCTTTTTGAAGGTGTCCCTGGTGGCAGCTCCATAGAGCAGGTGGCCTGCATGGCACAGGCACACAGAGTCAGGAGCCTGTGTCTTTTCAGACCATATAATCTAAAAATCACTCAGCCTCTTTTGGTCTTCTGGGGATATGATGACGATGACACAAGACTCTTATGCTAAAAACTAATTGTTAACCTGCAGAGGACGTCATTCAACACAAATCCCAGCAGAAAAGGGGTGGGTGATGGATGTTTCTGGGTAGCAGTCCAAGCTATGATTTGGTTTTCAACAGATAGTTCTCTGGGTTGCCCCATTTTCATGTCTAGTACCCGACTTTTATGTGAAAATAAAAAGCACATTAATAATAAAAAAAACCCTCACAATTTATGTTTATTAATGTATGCATCTAAAACTGAAAGGAGCAAACAGTTCCTTCCCTATCTCAGGGCATAAAATGCCCTCACTCTTACCTATGGTACTTGGGTTTCCTGGAATGTTAAGCAAAGCAGTGGGTAGGTAGAAGGTTAAAGGCAAGGCAACAGTGTTGAAAAGGAATACAATAAGTAGTATATGGGAAAGGAATGTGGGACTGTGTATACATCTGTTGATTGAAGCATGGCCAGAAGATCCAGGGAAGTGATGCATCTGCATCTGCAATGCCACATCCAGTGGTGTCCTCCATGCCCAAGCATGAAGAAGACATTAGTAAAACTGGAGTGAGTTCAGTGGAGGGCCACCAAGATGATCAGGGGCTGGAGCACTTGCCCTGTGAACAGAGGCCAAGGGAATGGAGAATTCAGTATGGATTAGAGGTGATCTCACAGGGACCTGATAGCTGCCTGCTAGAACATGCAGGGAGGTTATTTGAGAAGATGGAGTCTGGCTGTGGGAGGAAAAGAGACAATAATTGTAAATTGATGCAAGAACGTTTCTGACTGGAATCAAGAGAAAACTTTTCCAGCATGGAACAGTCAAGTATTTGGAAGGATTGTCAAGAGAGTTTGTGCAGTCTCCATCTGTGGGTGTTTTATGGCTTGACTGGATAAAGCCTTGAGCAGTCTGTCTGTTCTGGACAGAACATTAACTGGAGACCTGCCAAGGTTCTATCAAATCTGATTCTCTACAATTTTCCTCATGTGATAATGTACTGTATACTTTATTTGATCTGTTCTCTTCTGGTAGATTAAATTTTTGTCACTAAGCACATTTTCCTTGTATCCTCATTTTATTATACCTCTTCTACTCTGCTGTACCTTCCTAACTCTAAGTACATCTAATAGTTCCATTGTCACTGGGTCATGGTGTCTTCAGAATTCTCCTAACTTCCAATGTTTCTTCAGTGCCCCTCAACCCTCAGAGGAGTGCTTCCAGTCACCAAATCTATGGGAGACTCTTCATGGCCGTTTTCATAGCAAGCAGAGGCACTGCCTTCTTCTTTCCTTTCTGAGCTGTCTTGTAGAAGGGTTGTTGTCTGCTTTACTGCAGTGCCTCTGTTCTTTCTTCCAGTAGTGGATGAAAACCAATTCTGTGCTCATTAAAAGATAGCAGTGTTGCTGCATTCAGCTTTCATAAGAGAAGTACCTAATGGTAGACATGGCCTCAGACCAGTGCCAGTGCATGGACTGTAAATAAACATGAAGGGATTTTTGGAAGCAGATGAATACCAAAGCTTACTGGGCTACTCTCAGTAGCCCTTCTGGAGAAAAAAAAAATATATTTTTTGTTTTGTAATGATATTTTGTTTGGCTTTATTTCAAAAAACTGGAGTTTCTTCTGGCCTCTACTCTCAGGAGATATCTTCAACTCCAATACCCTCTGTATTTCTTGGATTTTTGATATTTTCTTAAAAACTCATTGATACTAAAAGCATGAGGATGTTTATGAAAAATGTTCTCACATTTCCTTGTGGGTCTGGGAGGGTATTTTTGGGTATGTCTTTTACATCTGCTTTTACAGTTAAGCCTTATCTAGTTGCTTTTAAGCTCGTTAGCAGCTAAATTGTAATAATTGCAGCAGAACCTACATTGTTTAGATTTTAATACCCATTCCAAATAGCCTTGAGTGTATTACAGTTTGATTATCAAGTAAGTCAGATTAACACTAGTCCATAAGAACAGTTTTCACTATTCATTCAAACTTGACTCTCCTAGCATTTGGATGCTGTAAAACCTGTAACATTTCTAAATGAGTGTATTTCCTCAGGTGTCTTGTGACCAGCTTGCAGTTAGTAAAGATGGTTTTGAATTTCCTGAATCCTCTTCTGTCTCTCAAGATACTCCTCAGCTCAGGGCAGTGCTGCCAGAAGAGTATTGTAGTGGGCAGAAAACATGAAACTTACCAAGTTAAAATAACTTAAATAATATAACTATACCTTAAAATGCTGGAATAAAGCAAGCAGTGAATATACTGGGAAGGTTTGAGGATAGTAATAGGGTAATAGTTGCATGAAGTACCTTTGATTCACACAAAGGAAAGAATAAAACGATGGAGACAACTGTGAAGGTTTTCTTCTGCGCCCACAAACTGCATATTGCTGTTTTTCCTTAATTCTGTCTTAACAAAGCCTGAGAATTTGACCTTGGACCACTGAGATTTCAGTCATTTGCATATATTTAGCCATACAGACTTTTTCCTTGGATTTGTGGAAAGTTTGGAAGTCTTCTATGTTATGTCGTGTTTTATCATACTCATTGCAAAAGTAATCTTTTTTTAATTCATGTGTAAATCAAATAGTATTTTTCAGTCAAAACCCATGAATCTTCCTTTTCATAGAGAGCTTCAATACTGATAATGCACTGTTCTGTCAAGAGCTGCAGTCATCTAAATATAAAAATGTTTCAATAAGGAATCTTGGGACTAGAAAACATTTTAAAGATTTAGTCTACTCTTTAAAGACATACTTCTGGACAAATAAATACAGACTACCATACCATATTATGAGCTTCTTTGATTTAGGTATCTCTTTCCATTAAGTTTGTTGACAGAAATTAAATTTAAAAATTCAGTTCTCTTTCACCGTTCAGGCCATTAGCCAAGCTATTGACAAGGGCTAGTTTCTACCTTTTGGAGGTCAAGGAAGGTGTACCATTCTTGATCCAGTGCTGCAAGCTTCCCTGTAAACAGGCCTTGATGTCTTCTGATTGGATTTGTGTGCCCTGGCTTGCATAACCATACAGCTTGTATCCCAGCGTTATTAGCCAAAAGGAATATAGGGACTTACATAATCATTACACGATTATTTTTCAGTAACTGTACTGTAAATATGTAATTCTCTCTGTTCCTAATAACTCTTAATCTCTTTGTTTCTATTGGCTCATGGGCTCAGATTTGGCTGTGGCCTCCATGCCCTGGCCACTGATGAAACTTGAAAAAAATTGTTACTCTCGGGGCTCACCTGCTTTGCTCCCAGCAGCAAATACGTGTTCCCCAGTGCAGGCAGGGGCACTGCACGGTGGTGCACTGTGTTGTGGGAGTGTGCACAGCATTTCTGCCTCCATTCCTTCTGAGAAGGGCCCATTCGTCTTTAGAAACCTTTCATACCTGGCTCTGTGTGTATGTTCAGCACAGACCTCTTTGCTGAGCTTCTTTGTGTGTTTTATGCCTGAGAATTCTAGTGCAAAGTTTTGATCTCATTTCTGCATGTTGTTTGAGAAAGATTCTTTCTTGAGATCCTTTGGTGAGAAAATCTGAATTATCAAGAACTCTTGATCCACTGCAGGTGTTGGAAACCAGGAAGAGATTGTTTTCCTTTTGGTACAAGCAAATAGAAAAAGGCCCTTTAGAGTGCTATTCTGCTGTTTAGTTGTGGTATCTGTGGGATTTGGTGGTCCGCTGTCTCCCAAGTTGTAGTTCTTCCAGTGATAACTTATGCTAATAAAGTACCTTTCAGGTATATTTGAAAATAGCCTCAACTTTGATGCAAAACTGCTTTTCTTGCTGCTTTTAATATTAGAAGTGTTACTCTTTTTTTTTTATTTCAGCCTTACAAAATAATTGAAAATAATTTTTCTGTGTTTAATTAGCTTCATGAGTCAGTGCCTGGTCTTAGATCTTGACATTTTTGGCATGCAAAATTTTCTTGTGTATTTGACCTTGGCTTTATTCCAGAATAAATATTTTAAGCTGCTAGTTGTGTGTATTTTTTTTTTGTCTTTGGTCTGAGTCTAGGGGGCAGACATAAGGAGCACTGAGAGAAGTGAAGTGTATAAACCACAATTAGAATTGCAGTGCACAGGTGTCTGTAGATCTTACACAATTGCCAAGCTATTTGTTTCTCAAATGATAGGGGCTTTGGGAGTGTATTTTGGAGAATAAAGGGAGCAGAAGGCATGTTAGGGTTATGGGTTTGGTTGTTTGGGATTTTTGGTTTCCTTTTTTTTCAAATCCTGCTTTAAATTCTTCCAGTCTTGATACATTTGATATCTTTACAGAACCAGCATATTGAATGGTTGAAAGTGATCTACTGTGGCTGGCGATGCAGTTTATAACTGCCTTCAGAGAGGAATCAGCATTGAAGAATAAAAATTCCTTGCATAATAGCTTTCCTTTGAGCATCAAATTAGGTCTTGTGGCTTAAAAATCTGAATGCCAGCATTGAAAATAAGATGACTTGTAATAATATTAAAAAAGAATGACTTTTGCATCAAGGTTATGGGTGAGCTCTGCTGCAGGCCCTTGAGGATCTTTTTGGAAAGAGAGGTGTCTTAAATCTCTATGCTAGTCATACACAAAATATTATTGCAATGAAAAAATTGTGAAGTGAATAAACAGCAGCTCACAGTACAGGATGCTTGATGTATCAGGAGTCCTAGTGTTCACTGTATTTTGCAATTTAATGCACAATATTTTTTTAATTCTGTATTTGTGTATGCACCACTCACTGTGTTGGATCTGTATTCTTGGGATGTGAGGTTCCATTAAAAAATAAATAATAATCGCAGCCCCCGCTCCCCCCACGTGCACTCATTTTCTGTAATATGGTAATGATATCACCGTAGCAGTAATTACGGGTCATCTTCATTTCTTTCATCTCTGCTGGTTCTGATGGCTTCATTCCTTTGACGGAGAAGATTTGGCTCTGGGTGCTGTGATTATTTTGTTAAGCATTATTCGAATAGACAGGAGTGAGAGAAATTAATCAATCCAAATGCAATTAGCATCATGTTTAACCCAGTGATGGACGTCTCAAGGTGAAACAGCCAGGGGAGTTTCAGACATTATTATTCAATCCAGTGGCTCTTATCTAAATTATAATCAAGAGGTTTTTATTGGCTTTGCAGAGAGAAGATGTAACTCTTTCCCTGCTTTGGGGGTCAAAGGGATCAGATCTTTGGTTGTACAAGATACTGGCTGCAGGTATCTCCTAGAATTGGGAGGTACTGTAAAAGTTTACTGTAATATCAGGGTCACTTGGGACAAAATACCTGCACATCCTAGTATCTGTGGCCTGGAACATAAGTGTAGTAGCTCCCTGGTCATTGGTAGGGTTGTCTTTGCCCCTTGCATTTCATTGACTGAGTTTGCCCTTCTGAATGTGAGTGAATACTGTTTGTAGTTTCAGCATTCGAAGCTCTGTGAACATCACAGTTTGCAACTGACTGCAAACAGAATGATAACCTCCTTGCAAGGTAGGGAAATCTAGTTAGGAAAACAAGGGAAATGATTCTACAGGGAAGGAATCTAATTTTTCTTAGAGTCGATATAATTTTAGTATTTATTGATAGCAACAATAACATTTTTGAGTATTTTTTAATATGCAGCAGATCTGTTGTCACTGAATAATCCTGAATGATTCTCTGAGATCTCTTATCAGGTACAAGAACAAACATGAGTACTATATGTGGAGAAGAACAAGGAGGAAAGAGGTCACATGAGGATTTCACAATTCAGGAAGGCATTAGGTATTTGATTACAATTCTTAAGGCTCTAGCTAACACTCACAAAAGTGTTTCAGTGGTTTAAAACTTTATCAGTCTCAGCTATTTGCCACTTCTCTGTCAGAGAGGACTGTTCTCATAGCATACTTTGTGCAAGTTTTACCTTCTTTGGCACTTCTAAACAAGCCATGCCAGACTGTGAACTACAGCTGACATAAGGGCACATTCTGCTTTCTCATTCACCAAGGGGAGGACACTGATGTTTTGTACCAGAGGGGTGTTATTATTTTAAAATGCTGCAGGCAAGACTTGACAGCTCATCTTTCAGATTCTGAATTCTAGCACAGTTGCTGAATCCTTTTGCATACATCTTGTGCTAGCTTTGGCTGGGGTAGAGTTAATTTTCTTCACAGTGTCTGGTATGGGCCTGTGTTCTGGATTTGTGCTAAACACAGGTTGATAATAGAGAGATGGTTTTGTTGCTAGTGAGCAGAGCCAAGGTCTTTTCTGCTTTTTGTACTGCCATGCTGGCAAAGAGGCTCGAGGTACATGGAAGGTTGAGAGGAGACACAGCTGGGACAGGTAATCCAAACTGACCAAGGGGATATTCTAGACCACTTGACATCGTGCTCAGTGTATAAACTGGGGGAAAAAGGAGGAGGTGAGGGATGATCAGAGTGGCATGTTTGTCTTCCCAAGTCACCATTATGTATGATGGGGCCATGCTCTCCTGGAGATGCTGAACACCTGCCTACCACAGGAAGCAGTGAATCAATTCCTTGTTTTGCTTTGCTTTCTCTGTTAAACTGGCTTTATCTTGACCCACAAATTTCTCAGCTATACCCTTCTGATCCTATCCCTGATTCTGCTAGTGAAGGAGTGAGCAAATGGCTCCATAGGGCTTGGTTGCTGGCTGAGGTGAAAGCACAGCAATCTGTACTGAGGCTGTGATCCCATCTGTAAGGTGGTAATTAAACCACTATATGTTTCAAGAATATTGTAAGGCTTGATAAACTTTGCAAGTGCTTTGATACTGATTACTGAGAGATGCCATGGTAATGCAAGCTTATTCCACCTAGAGGTTTACGCTGATTCTGTTGTCTTAGCTGAGGAATGTGTTTCAGGAGTGTTAGGTGATTGCAGTGATCTTCAGTGTCAGTGTAACAGTTCCTGAAGCACTGCTTGGAGTGCCTGCATGTGCCAGTTGTGCCTCCAGTGAAGGTCACTGACCTTGTTTTCACTAGCCACTGCTCTCCTGAGATGGCAGTTCAACTCTCTCCAAAACCGGGCTTGGGGTAGCATTCACTGGTAAGTATTTGTCAAAGGCCAACAGTCTTCAACTAGCAGCTTATTTGACACTTATATTAGGAAGTAGCCAGCAGGTAGCAGAGTAATTGAAGCTCTTTCCATGAAGAAAGAAGTGTGAGCTGATGGCAGGTGGTCATAAGATTTTGAGGGTCTGGTTTGAGATAGATCTGCAGGGACCAGATTCTGTCTCTCTGACAGAAGTTCAGACTATGTTGTCTGGGTAAAAATATTCTCTTGGTCTTGTCTGTCATATGCCTCTTTTTTCTTTGAGAGCTGTTCAGTAATAATGTCAATCTTAAATATTTTTGCTGGCTTTAAATTACCTCTTTGCCTTCAACTCTCATCCCCGACTTATTTTTTTGTTTTCCTTGAACATGCAGTATTAGTTGAGCCCAACTGAAAGGTGTGACTTTGCAGTTGGCTTTCACAGGTTCAGTTAAGTAGAACTCCTACAGTCGTTCACAGGCAGATTTCTCTTAAGCCTTTTTTGTGTCCTGCCAACTAAGAAACAGAATAATTGTGTCTTCTTATCCTGGCATTCTATCTGAGCACATAAGAAACCACTTCTGATGCAACAGATTCTTGTGATAGAAGGCTAAAAAACAGAGAACTGTTCTGCTGTCTTTCTGCAATTCATATTCTTTGCCATGAAACGGTAATTTGCATTGACACTGCTTCAGAAATAAACCTTTCTAGTTTTGTTTTCTATGTAGTCCAAGGACACAGCAGTATTTTGAGGGTGCATGATTAGTACTTTAAAGGAATCCTTCCATGCTGAAAAACAAGTTCTTTAGCTACTGTAAGTGCAACTGCGTGAGAGAAATAACTGATAAGCTAACAAAGTGTAACAGTGCCTAAAATAGCCATTTGTAGGCAAGAATGTAGCATTCAAAATGTGACACTACAAGTCATTTCAGAGCTAAAAACATTAATTGTATTTCTGTGTTTTATTAGTAGCACGACCTGTAGATTTCAGCAAAGCTACATTTTCAGGTCAGATAGGGATCACAGTCAAATTTGTCCCATAAGTTGTACATCTGGGAGAGAAGCTAAGACATGCTTCTCTAGCAAGTGACTTCATATTAAAGTATCTATAATTTGAAGATACTCTCAGGCTTTGTTTTGAGATTTTTAGATAAGCCCAGAGTGGTAAACGGTGAAGGTATAATGTTCATGATGAATGTGTGATAAATACAGTTTGTCACGTATATCTTTTACATAGACTTTATCCCCAAGTGTGTTGTAGATATACTTAAGTGTATATTATGTTTAAGAAGTGTGCAAGTATGTGTGTTACTTAGGATTCTCTGGGATGAAAGTTGCTTATATAAGTCACTGATTTCCTTGCTGATTTTAAAGCAGTAAATCCTTCCATTATTTCCTGGCTATCCAGACCTTATAACACAGTATGTCCTGTGCTGTTGTATGTATGAGAAGGCTTTTTATGGGGAGCAATCAGGCTGGACCCCAATCTCCAGGGCAGTGGTTTTTTTCTAATTAAATTGTCAGTGGAAGGAATATCCGGAACAGCAGTTTTCATTTTCAATCGAGGAAAAAACATTATGAGTCTTTGTCATTTGATTAAAAGTTACTTAACCTTTAAATTGCTACAGATGTAAAGATAGCTCTGAGTTTCCAATGTAATCGCCTCCAAGTTAAAATCAGGAAAATCTTTGTGTAATGAAACCCATATGTCATAGTGAAAGGATGCAAAGCACTGGCAGAGTGGGCTGCTCTAGCAGGAGATTCTGCACCCAATCTTGTTAACCAGGACTGCTTTTGGTAATCCCTCATCTCCTCACTTGTAGGAAATCAATCTGTACCACTGAATCTTTTCAACCAGCAACTATAAAATTTACTGCGGAGAGGCAGCTTGGGGACAATTGTAGTAAAAATGGAGCCTGAGGCAACAAGGCTAAATGTGGGATTGAGGGATTGAAGTTCTAAAGAGAAGATTATATTAAACCTTATTCTGCTCCTCTATCAAGTAGAACTGTCTCTTCCTCCTTTCAACCCCAGCCTTTGCTATGCAGTACCTGTTCTTGAGATCTGCTTGGCAGATCTTTGCCAGGCAGCAAACGTAATCCCTACAGTACGGTATTCTCTGTTAATTATAATAGCCTTATAACAATTTTCAATACATTTATCTGAAGGAGTTTATTCAAGCACTATTTCCAGAGCAACCAGTGCTGTTATCAACCTAAAGTGTTTTTTTCTGTGGAGTTCAGTGTCTTCCTTCTCCCTAGTAGGTGGGGTTAATTTGTGTACAGGCTATTGCAATGGTATCCATTGTTGATTTTCCTATTGTAGTAGATGCACAGCACAGACAAGGTTGTAAATCGTGACTTGTCATGCAGATTCATGTTTCTGTTTTGTGCTGCACAGCCTCTGTAGTGTGTGTCTGCTGGTACAATGAAACCTGTGCTCAAACCCTCTCTTCCCTTGAAGTCCATGGTTTAAACTACCATTGTAAAGAAAAAATCCCTGAGGTTTTCACTTTAGTTTTGTCCAACCTTTTAATTAAAAAATCCACCTCTATCTACTATTCAAATGGCTTCTGCTGGTCCCTTGGGTAGTTGCTTAAAGCTGGTTTTACCATCTCTCTTAGCCTGCAGTCGTATTTGGAATGTGGGCGATGGTTTCTTCATTCACAAGCTCTTCCCTCACTCCAGCAAACTCCATAAGACCCCAGTGGAAATGATATTCCTATTATTAAGAATTCATTTCTCAAAAGCAATACTGAGCAGAGAAATCAGTGTAATATTAGAGCCTTTTACTGTGCAAAATCCATCAAATCATACTCCAGTGCAGATTAAAAAGAAACAAAGGTGAAGCAATAGCCAAGATGTTTGAATGCAGCACCATGTAGTAAAAATTTGGCCTGTGTTTACCAGGAATACATTGAACTGTGGTTCTTGGACAAGTAAGAGAAGCAGCTGAAGCAGGGAAGGCAAGATTGTTAATGCTTGTGGAAACTTGCCCTTAGTTTGGCTGTGGTTTTTGTGTCAAATGAGGATGTTACTTCCTGGCCATTTTCATACATATACAAAGATAAAAGGTCCTTTTTCTTTCTCAGTTTGGCATCATATCTTTAAAAATAAAGCCTTGCTGCAAGCCTGAGTCTGTGAGGAGGCGAGGAATACAGAATAGCAGAAGGCTGTCTCCCGCTCCTAATGGGATTTTGTAGCAGCATGTGCGAGTTTGTTTCAGAAGTCAGAAATGAACAGATGTTGGTATAAATTACCTCTGTGTCTGATGTCTTGCAAATTAAAAGCGCGGTTGGCATCACTAAACAATTCCACCAGGTTGGGGGGGGAAGTGGGTGGTGATTATTGTAGCAGGTCGGTAAGAATCTTTAAGCTGCAGCAGAACAGGATAGCAAGGATAAAGGAATGAAGAATAAAATGAGAGGTCTGTGAATTAATCAGAAATGTTAACATCTTCGATGACAAGTGAACAGGCAGGCACGTGCTCTGGAGCAGCCTCCAACCCACAGTAATTTCACTCAGCGCACAGAAGGAGTCTATGCTCTCTGCCTGATTTATAGGGTGCAGCCCTCTTTGGGGGAACAGAATTGTCATGCATTCGTATATCTCCTGGATGGGACTTGCACTCTGGAAAACTTTCTACTTTATCAGCTACAGTTCAGTTTATGTGCTTTTCTCATTAAGAGTGTTTTAAAACCATACACTATTGTTGGAGCAAGCCAGGGAGATGTCAAAGAACTAAGAATCTATTCCAAACTGAAAATTTAAAAATATTTTAGTTTTATTTAGTCATATTCTTTGGGCATAACAACTTAATTCCTGACAAAATACCAGTCCTCTCTGTTCTTCAGCAGCACCTTCTATCCTTGTGTCACTTCAGCAGCACTTAAAACATACAGGTTATCTTGGGGTTAGGGAGGTAGAGGTACAAATGAGTACTTTTGTGGTAGCTCATGCTGTGCATCAGAAGCAGGATCCCAGGTGATGTAACTCACATCTGGAGGCATGAGGCAAGAAAATAGTGCAGTGATATGCTTGAACCTCCAGCCAGTCTGAAGCATGTTCCATACAGGACAGTGGACTCTGCAGCCTACAGGTATCCGTATGTAACAGACAGGTTATATACTTTTAAATACAATTAATTGTTTTACAAGGATTTTGCTGATGACAATACCTCATGATAAAATTTTGTATAAACAGATTAGAATGTAGTAATTTAAAGAAGAGGCTTTAAGGCACAAATTCTAACTTTTATGTAAACAATAACAAAATGTCTTTATCTGAGTGCACTCTGAGTATTGTAAGCTGAACATTTTTATTACATTTTAGTTCTGTTCTGACAGATAATCAGTAATGTCAAAAAAAAACCCAACAACAAACCCACCTCCAGTTTTTATGCTAATCTTAATTTCTGATGTTTGTCTCAGTAGAGAAGTCAGGAGTTGAATGGATAAAACAGAAAATTAATTCCTTTCTCTTTCTAGACTGTCTTTGAGACTAGGTGTGGGAAACATGCATGTTTTCAGCATTCCTGTGAATAAAACTTTCCATGTTTTGATGCCTGCCAGTCCAGCACAAAGCTTACACCTTTACTGAAAAGAGATGGAGGGGGACCAGTGGGAAGATTGTCTTTCTCCAGGCCTCAATTGCTAATGGTGCTGTCTTTGATGCATTGTATTGTTACTGCAATACAAGAATAGTATGAGGGCTGCTCTGCCAGTTTGTGAGCTTGTGGGTTCTCAAGTCAGAAATGTCTCATGCGGAAAAGTGGCTGTATAAACCCTGCTGTAGTACAGCTACCAGAGATTGATGGTACCGAGCATGAGAGAGAGACATATAAGCCTTGCCTTGCTGTATTAAACATCGAAGGACTGACAACACAGAGAGAAAGAGACCAAAGCTCTATAAACTTTATTTTATTACCCTATCCATAGATGAACTACATTGAAGGAATATAAACCCCATTATATTACAGCATCCAGGGTCTGACACTGCTGAGAGAGAGAAAATGCTGCCTAATTTCTGTTGAAGATCACACCATCCAGGGACCAATAATCCTGAAACAGAGAAAGAGAGAGTTCCATAATCTCTGACAGATTATAACATGCAGGAACAATTGTGCTGAGATAGAGTGATGGAGATTTGGATTTCACCATTCAGAGATGGATAATACAGGTAAAAGGAGGTGCTGCAATAGCATAATGCAGTAGGAATAGAAAGCATAGATTGTATGTAATGAGACAGCCTGTGGGAATTATTGCTGAGTTTAGAAGGTTCCAGACCCTGCCTGCATTTGTAGCATGTCAGGAATTCAAGCTGAAATGCAGTTTTATTTATTTTTCACTTTAATAGATAAATAAAATAATTCTTAGTTTTGGTACAAGCACAAATCTAAATGAATTTCTTATCCTATGGTTAGAATATGTTATACAATTATACAGATTATACAATTGTTTGAGTTTCTTTACTTTTTAAAAAATGCTCATTTCTTTTTCCTCTTTTGTGATTTCAGCTAGAGAAATGACTCGAGGGAAATTCCTGAACATCCTAGAGAAACCCAAAAAGTAGCTGCATCTAACATTTGGATGAAAATACCCCAACTAAGTCATTTTATGTACTGCAGATCCAGATGAAGCCCAGAAAGTCTAAGAAGAACAAAGCTCTTGCTCTAGACCTTCAGAAGCAAGCATCTCTTTTTGCTTCCACAGCTCTCATCTCTTTATGGGGGAAATGTACAATATGCCCAGGTCACAGGGATTGCAGTTGGTTGCATTGGAATTCGGACTTCCTCTGACCACAGGATGTCCAACAGGAGGACGTGCTGTGACACAGTTAGCTGTTTCAATCAAAGTGAACAGCCAATGTCCTTATTCAGCTGCTCTCAGGGGTAGCCTGTTTGAGGTACACAGCAGATCTGGCATTGGCCAGTGTTCATTATGAGGTCTCGTCTTTTGTCTTAGATGCCTTGATTTCCTGTGTGTGATGTCTGTGCTGAAGGATTTGAGCATAGTTTGGGGTGTGGATCTACCAGGAGCTCTGGCTCAGCAGGAGCACATACTTTTAGTGTAGAAGCCAAGTGCACTCTCTGCATTAGATTCCAGTTGCCCACTGCCTTCAGAGAAGCACATTTGGTACCCTGAGGAAGAGCTCCAGACTGTTGGTGTGCCAGGAGCTTCATTTCACCGCTGAGTGGTTCTCTAAGTGAAACTGAAACTAACAGACCACAGGGGTAAGAAGTGTTACTGTCTCACGGAAGATACCCTCACTGAAGCTTTGGCCAGTACACAAAGAAACAGCTTTGTCATTCCTCTGCAATTCTTTGCTTCTTGCAGGGCAAGAAACTGGAAAGAGTTCTAAAGATGAAAGATGGTAATGTTTTCAGTTATCACTCCAAGAAGTCGCATCAGGACTGTAGGCCACATTGTGAAGATGGTCTGCCTATACAGGATCTCAGCGTTTCTGAAAATCATGTTTTGTGGTATATTTAATTGCTTATAAACCAGCACCCCAAAATCTTCTTCTCCTACAAAACCAGATTTTTTAATATATAAACTTCTGTGAGCTGCTCCCTTTCAGAACACTGATTGTGGTTTAATGTCTTTTTCTTCTGTTCATGCACTGCTACATACTCTCTATACCCCTTGGAAGAGGTATAGAGCATGTTCAGACTTTTGTTTTATTTAAGAGAATTTTTTTTCATTCCATCCTCTTTCCTTTTCCTAGAAAAAAACATTTTAAGCATTAGTAAATATGTTCTTTTTTAGGATACAACATGATGTTGAAACATAACATAATGTTATTTTTACCATGCAGGCTTTTCAAAATGTGTAATTTCTCAGGCTGTAGTCACATATGAGGGGAGAAATTATTTGGAAATAATACATATAACAGGCTGTCCTTACAGCACTGCATTTTTCTGGCTTTGCAGAGGGAGAAGACTCTTTTTGGGTGTGTGTGCAATAAAGAGGGGGAGATTTTCTGAATCAAATAGACTTCTGAGTTTTACTGAATTGCTGATGACCCTTTGGTTTACAGTCTGTGGTTTTTGGTTATTGCCAGTGAGAACTAGGCTTGTTTTGGACAGCTCTGGTTAACTAAGTTTAAGTAGTTAAATCCTACATCCTGGAAGAGCCCTGCACAAATGTAGAAATATCAGGAGCCTGATTTAAGGCTTAACAGAGTTATTTGTCCTTCACAGTTTATGCAGGGCTGAGCTTAACAAGAATTCCATCCCTTGAGATCATGAGAATTAAGACAGATAAATGAGAAGAGAAGCTGAAATTGTTAGTTCAGGAACAGAAAAAAACCTGATGGTGGAAACTGATGTTGATGTAGCATTAATCATTGAATTATAGATTTGGATGGAAATTTAAGTTTGTATACTATATATGTAATATATGTACATATATATGACATAATGGGATACTTCATCTGTATCACCAGTGTTTTATAGAGGTTTCTTTGTCCAACACATTAAGGAATTGAGATCTGAAAGGAAGATACAAGAAAATATATGAAAGCCTGTCCTGGAAGTATATATGTATCTTCTGACATGTGCAGTAAGAAATTTCAAACTCTAGGTGGTTTTTAGAAACATACATATGTTAAAAAAAAAAAAAAGAAAAATCTTTTTTTGTTATACACAGTAATCATCTTCTATAGGGCAGCCATTAACATATGCTTTAGAATTGTGATATTTTTTGATTTTGTACTTATCATCTGTAGAGATGAGTCAATTATGCTATTTTTTATTGACAATATTTATATGTATTTTTGTGTGTTAGCCAGAGAATTTTTTTCTGTCTGTTATTGCTTTTTGGTTTAATAATATGCAAGTGCAAACCTCAGAGATTTGTTTGGGTTTCCAAAATAGCTCTCTAAGATGCAAAAGCTTTTGCTTAGCCCCTTAGGCAATACTATTCCTCAGGCTCTTCTTCGCTTATCTGCATGACACCTCCTCAGGGTTTGGCCTGTGGATGTTCCATTTCCATTAGTAAATAAATATTTTTAAATACCCAATTGCTACTAAGGGTTCTCGTACCCTTTTGAACACAATTTTTTCCCTCAATTCTATCCTTCCTGAAATCCATATTATTACCTATCTGTACAAGAAAATCTGAGTAACTTTTTATTACTGATGGGAATGAAGAGTATAAGAAAATCAAGATTTGGTAATATTAATCAAGCTGGTGCATTGTTTTATAAAGTGTTTTCATGTATTGATATATTACTGTGAGTTTCTTGGATGTAAAGTCAATATTTGGTTCCTTTTAAATGCCAGTGTTACATTCAGTTATAAAAGCTATTCACTTCAATCTTGGACTATCAAATGCTTTGCTATCTAATCCAACTGAGAAGAAATTCCTGTTTGTTATGTGAATCACTATCAAAATAAAAGTCTGTGTGCACTGGCAATTGAATAATGTGATATTCCATTCAATTCAGTGTTATGCCATTACAAAATCAACAATTTTGTAATGGTCCTGTAACTCACAGTTCTGAACTTTGATTAATATTTCCCTCAAAAAGATACCTAGGAATGACAGATTAGTGAAAATGGACTAATCTATCTTGGAGGTAACATTTGAACATTATTCTGGTTTTACTGATTTTTATGTTATGTAAAAATGCAAGGTGCTATTACAAGTCAAATCACAAGCCAGTCTTATCTGTAATCTTCTCTTTGCTTATAAACAGTTGCAGAAGGATAGGGAAGGATATAAACAAAAGGCTTACACAGTGATTTTGCATTAGGGTAACTTACACAGCATCCAGCAATCTGTTTTAGTTGAATCTGGTCCACAGTAGACCTTACCCTCCATAAATTTGTGTTAGTCCTAATATTTCTGTACTTCTGACCTGAAAAATGCCCCAGGATAGTGAGTTCCATAATTCAGTTATACAAAGAAAGGTTAAAAATTTTAAAAAGAAAAACAAAAAAAGCTGGGGGGAAAGTTGATTTAAATCTGCTTGCCTGATAATTCCGTTTTGAAACTTTCATTTATTTTATTGTCAGGACCAGTTGTTTGGATTTTTTCTTCTTTGCTGTCTGTGCAGTACTCATGATTTTTCAGGTTCTACTATGGTTTTTGTTCCATGGTTATGTTCACCTTCTCTGTGTCCACAGTGTTCAATGGTCTGTCTTATACTACAGCCTGAGCTGGCATAATCAAAATTGCAGAGTAGTCATAGTGCAAGCATTCTGTGAAGTGTGTACGTCCTAATTGCAGCTCATACTTCGTTATTCTGCTGTTTCCTTTCACAGCATTGGGACCTAAGTCCTGTTTTGAGTATCTCTAAGAACAGGATCGTCAGCCAGATTTGCAGCTGATCTCATCCACATCACCTGCAGTAACTATAGCGCTGGGCAAACAACGATTTTCCCAAATCACAATGGCAGTGATGCCAACCATTCCATGCTGATGAATTGACACCTGGCAATTCCATCATCAACCTATGCAGTATGTGAAAAAATGTCATCTTTGTCACGTGGTCTGAAATCCTGGCCTCCCAAAAGCTCAGTAACTTCTCATAAACATTTCTGTAGTACTTCTAAACTAAAATATATTCTTAGAGATATACAGTCAAAAGAAAAAGAAAACTTACAAATTACTGTTGCAGAAAGTCCATAGCAATGCATACGCTCCCCTAGAACCAGCAGTCATTCAAAAACACCAGAAAGCACTTCAAGCAGCCTCACACTTGAGTTTCTCCTAAGAGCCTCAGGCAACAAGTGTACTTGTAGTAGGAAAATGTGTCACATCTTGAGTGAGCTATCTGAACATGGCATACGAATTTGATAGAGCATGAAAATAATCCTCAGTTCTTAGTGTAGTACTCCCATATGCCAGTCTGTACTGACACTTTCAAAGAAGTCACTAAATTATCTTTAGTAGAAGGTGATAATTCATTGGAAGACAGTTTTCTAGCAGGTTGTCCCTGTATCTTCAGTCCAGGAAAATTATAGTTGGACAGAAACTTCTCATGGAGCAGCAGCTCTGTGTTGGATGAAAATGATTCAAAGAACAAATGCAAATGTTGTAAACACATTTGTGTT